ACCGGGAAGACCTCTTTCCCAATTCTCTGCAGCCTGGGGAGTAAGGAACCAGTAATTAACTCCAGCTTCCTCGAGAGCTGTGTCCTGGTGTATGTGAGTCAACACACACTTTCCCAAAAGGGCCTTCCTGCGTGTGTGGGAGGGTCCCAGCCCTGATCCTATTCCTCAACTCTAACCCTCAGCAAAGTGCAGGAAGAGACTCTCAGAAGGACCTCTAGGAACAGTGTCTTATCGGAACCAGCCTGGCGGGGAGTGGAGCAGGAAGGAGAGGGGCCCAGCACGGCCGGCCAGGTGTCTGGACAGATGTCTGTGGTCCCTGGCTTAACTCAGAAGTGTTTGGGTGGGAGTGGAGAGGAAAATGGCGAGAGAAGTATAGAGAAGAGAGCAGAGAAAGCCTGTGGTTGGGTGGAGTGCGGCAGGTGGGAATCAACCCTGACAAATCCCTTTTGCCCTAGACCCTAGGATTTGCTTGAAACCAGAGGAAGTTTTATAAACCAAGTGTTGTAAGTGTAATGTATGAGCCTTTTAGCCTACTTTCTAACTAGATATTAAGTTTATCCCTCTAGTTGCATTATGTGAATTATGGAAAGAGAATCATAAATGACAATAAAGCTTAGAACTTCTGAGTTAGGCTCTTAGAGATCATCTATCTATTCTAATCCCTTTCACTTGCAGAGGAGAACATTGAGTCCCCGTGGTGAGGTTTAGCAGTTTGCTCAGGGTCACAGCACTGGTGAGTGAAAGACCCGGAAGTAAAATATCTTGCTTTTTGCTATTCTGCTGCAGTCCATTCGCTTTGACTGAGGCTGTCAGCAGGAGGGGCAGCGGGACAGAACTGTAAATGATCGAACTTGTCACTGGAAAAATTATAAATCAGTGGCCACAAAATGTCAGTCCCTCAGCCAGACTTCATCCGTCACATCATAAAAAAATAACTTGCCAAAGGGGGGTTTGAAAATCCAAACCAGATCCTTCTCCACTCCTGGAGGGGCCCATTCCATCATCCTGCACCAAGGCCAAGTCTTCCCAGCCAACTTGAGCAGTTGCATTTTAGGGTTTGGTTGTCTGAACTGTCATGATGAATGGAACCCACTAGATTAATGGAAAGTCTTCTGCAGAAGTTTTGACCCTGCTGATGCTGCTCAAGAGGAAGGAGGAAGGAGAAAAGGCAGGTGGGAGCGAGCGCCTTAGGGGCTAGAGGATCCTACATGAGGGGGTATTGTCCTGGCCCAGGGAGGAGCCAAGCAGACCCCTCTCCTTGAGGGGAAGCTGGCATTTGAGGGACATGCCTGGGCCTCTGGGATGCCTGTTAAGGGGAAGGGAAAGCCATAGGCGTCAACCCAGGGCCTGGGTTCCCCTGACGCGTTGTCAGGGTCTTCATTGTTGTGTAGCAACTGGGAGAAGGGCACCCCTCCTCCAGGGGCGTGGTTCTCCAAGCCAGGACTCAGTCACTTTTTCATTCCTAGCATCTGAGATTTTTGCTGTTGGCTCTCAAGTCAGATATGAAATTTAAAAAAAAAAAAAAGTAGATCTAGTCCAGCCAATGACATATGTTAGGGAAGTTAGAGGGAAGCAAACCCAAACCAAAGGTAAGTCTCCTTTCGTAAAAGAAAGAAATGTGAGCGAATGTTCAGAGCTCTGAAACCCAGCGAGGAGTTGCTGACACTGCTGTGCCTCGCCCGGTGGGTGAAGGTTGCTGGCTCAGGAGACAGTGTTCACGGCAGACTTCTTCCCTGTGCGGCGATTCTGCCTGTGGGCTTGTTCACCAACCAGGAGAATTGAACTTTTCAATCCCGGATTTGTAGGTGGAGCGATCTTCTAGCTCATTAGTTTGGCCCATTAGCCTTTCCAGTGTTTGCACTGCAGGTTCACAATTGATCACAATGCAGTCACTGCCTGGGATAGGTGGATGGCCTGGGGGAGACAGGAATGGCAGTACTTAGAGACCAGGCTGTACAGTGACGTGGTGTGTGGAATCCCACAGATAGATTCACGTTTCCGTCCTGCCCTCCACTAGCAAAAGGCACATCTTGTGCAAGCATCGACTCCCTTTTTCTAAGCTTTCGTTTTTCCTCTGTAAAGCACTGACCCCATGGGGTCAGTGAAGACTAAGTAGCTATGTGGTGAATAAGGCCCTGAGCTCAGTCTTTGGAGAGCAGTCACCACTCAGCAAATGCAATCTCCTAGTACTGCAGTGATTGAGGTGTTTTTAAGGTATTGTGGCACCCATAGGAAGGGGATGGGAAGAACAGGGGAGAGGAAGGAACAGTGTCAGGAAAGGGTCCGTGGCCATTTGACACAGACTTTATTTGGAAGGACAGGTTGAAGTCATAGATGGGGAAGGTCAGGTCAGAATGTTTCAGGAAAAGGCATGGGGTCTGCCTACCCCCCACATGGGATTGTGATAGGAGGTTTGGGAGACTTGGGATGGAAACAGCTTAATGTGACTGGAGATAAGGGATTATTGTAGAAACTGATGCTAGAGGATGAAGTAAAAGCTTTTATGGTGCTTTAGTTTACAGGGAGAGGGACAGAGCTAAAACTAGGAAGAGGGTGAATAGTCTTCAAGAGCTAAGATTTTGAATAAATACAGGATATCATATGAGAGTCCTGAATGTCATATGTATACCCTACGCCCCTCTTGTGAGTCTTAGTGAGAAAACCGTATATTCTAGCCATACTGCTACATGCTTAGAAATTACAAAATAAAACTTAGAAGTTAGAAAACAAAAGCTAACACCCAAAGTTTTCACTTGTATATCTGAAAGCCTGCTTCTATATAACTCTTAGATTTAAAATGAAATCAAAATAATAAAACGGACTTCTAGGAAGGACCCATGAGAGTACTATTTTCCAAGCCCCATGTTGTGAGGCCAAATGACTCAGAGGAAACTTTACAGTTTTAAATGCATCAATTAGAAAACAAGAAACGTTAAATAAAACTTTGTGGATTATGCATTCAATTCAAGGGGAATTAAAAACCTAAACAAAGTTAAAAGAATTAATTACTTGAAAACAAAATACAATGTAAAGCTGTTTTCATAATGGAAAAAGAAATAGATAAGCCTTTGACAAATCAGAGTTTTAAATGAGAGAATACACAAATAAAAAGCATTCAATTAATGGGGTATAAGTAATAAGAAACTTCAGATTCTAGGAGACTGTTATGTACAACTTTATTCCCATTTAAATTACAACAGTTTTCTTGGACGTGTAGTAGGAAGCCTGAATAGCTTAAAAGCTATAAAACAAAAGTTAGTGGTAGCCAAAGGCTCATCACCAGGATCATGTGCTTCTTCCCATGAATTCTAAGAAATGATCAAGGAACAGATCTTTACTCCACAGAAATAGAAGGAAAACTTCTCAACTCCATCTGTAAGGCCACTTAACATTTGTCACCCAAACAGGCAAAGGATGGAACAAAAAATGGAGGACTCTGGACCAAGCTCACATATTTAAAAACCCTAAATAAAATGTTAGCAAAGGAGCACAAGGATATAAGGAACTCTGTTTCTCTAGATAAGTTTAATATAAAATCATCTGATCGTCTCTTTTGGTAAAAAAACTGTTAAGGTATTTGACAAAATGCAACAACATTCCTGACTAAAATTAAAAACTATAAACTTTAAAACTTTTGGACAATCAGGAGCAAAAACATACCTACCATAATTTACAGTAACATCATACTTGGGATAAATCATTGGAAGCATCTAATCTTTCAAGGTTATGAAAAAAATGAAAATGTCTCCTACCACTACTCTTGTTTAATACCATAGTAAAAACATTAGCCTTTGCACTATGGCAAGAAAAAGAAATGAGAAGTGTAAACTGTAAAAGAAAAATAAACTACATTATTTGCACATAGCATTTTCTACCCAAAAAAAAAATTTTTTTTTAAGTCTACGATAAAAACTACTTGAATTGATAAGAGTTCAGGAAATTGGAATCAATTCACTATATTAAAATCAATCATTTTTTCTAGACATCAGCAGGGATCTATCAGAAAATGTAACAAGAAAGAAATACAGAATGCTATAAAGAATTAAAACCAAAGTAGTAATACACACTATAAAGTAATTAAGGATAAATCTAGTAAAATGTACATCAAGAGAGACCTACACTAAAAAGTTTAAAAGTAGTTTAAGCTCACCATTTAAAAAGTTGAACACATAGAAGGAAGAAAGTGAAAATTACCTGCAGCCTCACCACTAAAAAGAAACTTCTGTTAAAAGCTAGCCTTCCAGACAGTAACAATATTTAAAAACTATGTTTTGGGTCATTGAAAATGCATATGATATAGTAAGACCAAAAACAGAAGAAAAACTTGTTTTAAAAGCTCATTTAAAGCTGGAGTAAGGGGGCCTCCCTGGTGGCGCAAGGGGTTAAGCACAGCACTATGAAGCAATCCACAGCCTCTGCAGCATGAGTTCGATCTCCCGCCAGCCAGGGAGCAACCCACATGTCGCAGCAGACCTCTCCTGACTCGCCCACTGCTCCCCTCAGCAGTGTATTTCGTCAGTCTGCCTGTTCTGCTCCCCACTCTGTCTCTGGTGAATCCTCTTGCCCCACCACCTCTGGCCTGTACGCCAGCTCTTGTGTGCATAAATAAATAAATCTTTAAAAAAAAAATCTGGAGTAAGAAAGTGACTTGAGGTGATAAACAAAGACAACAGGAAGGAGCAGAAGTTGAAAAGTTTTCTGAGTGAGGAGAAGAATGCTCAGTCTGGGGAGAGGATTGCCTTGCTGCCACATTCCGCCCACTAACCACACAGATTTAGTGCTGGCCTAGGGAGCACACCCCTGGGAAGAGCACTGATGGTCTTGGTTCCCATTTCAGCCTCCTGTTGGCAGTGCTTGCTTGCTCTCCCTTTACCCTATCTTAGAACCAAAGCAAAACAACAAAAAGACGGTGAGGAATTTGGCTGAATATGCCCCAGAGGTGGACTCTGAGAATTTTGTAACTGAACCTCCTGTTGTGTTTTCCATTTCTGCTCCCCCAGACCGCCCAGGTTTGCTGAATGTGAAGCCCATTGAGGACATCCAGGACAACTTGCTGCAAGCGCTGGAGCTCCAGCTCAAGCTGAACCACCCCGAGTCCTCTCAGCTATTTGCCAAGCTACTCCAGAAAATGACAGACCTCAGACAGATCGTCACAGAACATGTGCAGCTATTGCAGGTCATAAAGAAAACAGAGACAGACATGAGTCTGCACCCTCTCCTACAGGAAATCTACAAGGACTTGTATTAGCAGAGAAGTCCCGATTCACTGACCACGTTTGCCTTCTTCCGATTGCACTATCATGTTGAGGGAAAATCTGACACCTAAAAAAAACAAAAAAACAAAAAAAAAACCTACTGTGAAAAATGCATTTTAAAAAGAAAAAGTTTTAGAATAATAGATCTATTTTATGCATATTGTTTATAAAGATACATTTACAATTTACTTTTAATATTAAAAATTACCACATTATGAAATGACTGGTTCTATGTGAAGACAGAGTTTAATGTGGCCCCACGCTGCCCCGTTCCCCCTTCTTGTTCTTTCCTTCCCTCCTTTGATTTCCTTTACTTTCTCCTTTCTTTTTTACACATTTTATTTTATTTTTTTAAACTTCTTTTTTTTTAAAGATTGATTGATTGATTGATTGATTGATTGATTGATTTATACATACATGCATACAAGCACTGGGTACAGTCAGAAGCGCGGGAGGGTGAGAGAATTTGCCAGAGCCAGAGTGGGGAGCAGAGCAGGCAGAGGGACCGAAGTACACTGCTGAGGGGAGCAGCGGGCAGCAGGAGAGGTCTGCGCGCCATGCAGGAGAGGTCTGCGCGCCATGAGGGACCCTCCTCCAGTGGCCGGGGAGCAGCCGGGGATCAAACCAGCGCTGCAGATGCTGCAGGCAGCTTCGCAACCCAGCGCTCAACCACTGCGCCACCAGGGAGGCCCTCTTTTTTACACATTTTAAAAATGTGACTGGAACTGTTGATTAATTTTCACTCTGGGTAAATTAATTTTGTACTCCGTTTATGATCTTCCTGAGCCCTCCATCCTCTTGAGTGAGCATAACTAGGAAGGAGGGCCGGGGAACTGCATGATCAAAACTTCTCAGAGCTTGTGTGTCTTAACTCGGGACTCGATGGGGCCCCAGCTCACTGCTGGCAGGTGTTCTGCTAGGCGTCTGCGTAACACAGAAGTGTCTTTAAGATTCTGCACCTGTCAAGAGGAGCTTGCCACTGAATTGAGGAGAAAAGATTAATTTTTCTTAAAATAGATTATAAGACCCAGGATAATCATGTACCAAAGGGATGGTTCAGGTGCTAAGTTCTGTGGGGGTGCAGAGGACGCAAGATGAATGGAGAGTAGCAGCAGTCAAGAGTGACTCAAGCCATTGAAGGTGGCCTCAGTGGATGTGCTAGATTTGGAGTTGGAGGCATTTCAGGAAAGCAGAATAGCAGCAGCAGCAACAATAGCAAAAGGAGAGGGCAAACAAAGTGGGGAGGAGGAGGAGAGGTGCTTTCTGTTCTCACATGTGGGGCAGTTCTGCCATGGGGCAGTTCTGCCATTGGAGGCTGGTCATCCCCTGGGCCCGCCTTGCCCAGAGCTCTCTTACTTTCCTGATCTCAGAGGCTAATGAGCAGAGGGTTCAGATAACACAGCCGCCCCAGCAAGTGGGGAGTACACTCCCCAAAGGCAGGAGCCTTCTCGGCACAGTTAATAGATTAGCTGAAGCCACCAAGTTCACGTGCATGGCTGGCCCACGATGTCCTCACACTGTGACTCTGAAGGATGCTTCTAAGCAGATTGTCCTGAGGTCTGTCTGCTCCAGGATGGTCATTTCCACTGACCTGACTTGTGTCCCTGCCACTCCCTTTGCACAGCTTTCCTTATGGTGTTGAGACTTAAGAGCACCTAACTTTCAAGCCAACGTATCAAGAAAGGCTTCTCCTCTACCCCCAAATAATCACATCTCTGAAGAGTCAGATTATGAAAGTATGTGCTGACCCCAACCCTGGCCCTTTAGGAGAGACGCCTTCTGAGCTCAAGCCTTCAGAAACGCTGACCCCACATACCATTTGGGTCTCTAAACCTCCCATCTAAGTGACAGCAGAACATGGGGAAGGCACGTGCAGTTGAGTCCTCGTGTGGCAACTCTTCTTCCCTTGATGCCAAACATCAGAAGACTCTGACCCACCCCCGACTCACTGGAGGCCCCACTAGGGTTCTTTGTGGGGAGTTTATCACCTGAGAGAGCCTGAGGAAGAAAACACATGCAAGCAGTAGACAAGGTGAGGAGGATTCTGCCTCTGGGAGAACCCTTGTCGACGAGATGCCCCAAACAGAAAGTCTTCCAGCCCTGCCTGCTCTCACTTCCCACCGGCGCCCGCGCTGCAGCCCATCCACACCCCATCCACATGCTCGGGAAATAGGCAGGGAGCCCCGCTTGCAACTTGGCTCTGATGCTCAGTGTTAAATAGCTTTTAAATCCTGGCAACTTTCAAATTCCCATCTCACTGACTTTCTCCCTGTGGCTTGGACAACCATTTGCGAAATATTTTACGACACATCGAATCCAGCCTCCCAAGCTCCTGCTCGTTTCTCCCATCTCCTTTCCCCCAGGATGATTCACAAGTTAATCAACAAATGGATCATCAGTTATTCATAGTACTTTCTCTGGACACAAATACACTTAGGGATTTGTGTTCATAAAAATAGGAAGAAAAGTAACTTTGGTCAAGAGTCAAAAAGCAAGGAAAGGCTTTGGAGGGCCCCACTGGGCGCTCCCCCCGCACCTCCCTTGCCTGGGTCTGGCACTGCTCCTGCCTCGCTGCTGTCTGTGGCGCAGGGCACAGGCCCGGAGGAACCATTATCTGCACACCCTGTGTCTCCAGCTTCAGTCAAACTCACCCGAGTTCCTGGTTTATTTTTTTAACTTAGCTGAGAAGTTAGAGGGCCAGGACTCTGCAGTAGAACTCGAGAGAGATGGCAGCATTAGCTGGTGCCATTGCAGTCTCCAAAGCTTAGGGAAGAAAGTGGGGGGTGCTTATGTTTCTAGGGTGGGTAAACTTAGAAACTGCTGGACTGAGAGGCCGCAGAACCCTTGTGGTGAGCAGGCCCTGCCTTGCTGGGTATCTTCATTAACCCAGTCGTGCTGATAGTGCAGGCCAGGGTGACAGGTTGGGAATTGGCCCCAGGAACTTACTCCCTTGGAAGTACCTACTGGGGAGCCACAGCAGGGGCCCTAAGGGAAGACAGTTTCAGTTCTGAATTCCCAGAGGAAGAACCGAACTTCTCTCCAACAGGCTCTTCCCCTTGCTTTCTCTTTCATCCCCTTTGCTCACAGTCTTGGGGACAGTTTGGGGTGATGAGAACAAGGGGCCGAGACGCCTGCTCTTCACTAGATAGGCACCTCCCTGTTGTTCTTCTCCCTCACCCCGTCCTGGTGCGTGGGCCTGGCTCCTGGTTGTCTCTGTTTACATTGTTATCACTACTACGGTCAGCCTATCTCCACCCTTCGCCATGTTCACGTTCATCGCAGGGTGTGAAGCATTCAAAAGCCGGCCAGCTCCTCTCATCCCACCTCTGAAAAGTGTTTTCCGTCCGTCCTCCCATGCAGTCTGCCAGCCTGGGTAACCCCTCTGGAGAGTGTGACTAGGTCCAGCCTTAGTGGGGTCACAGGCTGCGCATAAAATCAGGCTGGTAAAGCCTACCCAGCAGAAGTGGTTGCATCCTAGAGCCGCGAAAGGCCTCGAGCCGTGGGGAGGCACAGGGGCATGCTCAGAAGGCATGAGAGGTCAGGCTGGCGGTGGCAGCTGGGGTCATGGCAGAGGCAGCGTGGGTGGTGGCCAGTCTCGCTGCGCAATTAGGAGCTGCCCAGGACACAGCCCGATGAGCCAGGGTCCAGGGTGAGGACAGGGATGTGCTTTTTGTAAAGTCAGCTCTAAAGCTCAGAACCTCTCTGTGCTGCTTCCCTGAACAACCACCCGAAGGATCAGGAAGCCCCCTCCCTTCTAAGTCCTGGGATGACGTCCATGTGCTAGGCCTCACTCTGCCCCTGGGGTCACACATGCCACAAGCTTGGCCCCGCACCTAATGGTTCTGCCTCTCCTCGGTCCTCTCACTTGAGCTGCAGCCTTTTGGCCCAGGGGCTTCATGAAGGATCCCGAGCTCCTGCCCTGGCGTCTTCCTCTCCTTTCCTAGGAGTGGGCCTCAGGCCCCCTAACCCATGAGGCCCCTCTACCTTGATGGCAAGATCATTCCTAATCATTCCTACCCCCGTGAGACTGGCACATCCTAGCATCCAGAGTCCAAGCCCTGCGTTTGTCTTAGGAGTTTAGCAAATTGCAGCAGCCAAACAACTCAGATGACAGGTGAGAACCCTGAGGCTCAGAGACATTAAGTAACGCCCAAGGTTGCGAGAGTCTTCCGGAATTAATTTAAGCAAAGGTGTTACATTACATGTGAGTTCCTAGAACACTGACACCAACACCTGGGAGGGGGCCTGGAGGCAAAGCACCTCAGAATACCTTAGAAATTTGAAGCGAGTGTGAGGTCTGCACTGGGCGTGAAGGGAGAGGACAGAACAGCGTTCCGGGAGGCATTCCTGTGGCGCTCAAGAGATTGTTGTCCAGGATGCGGAGGACCGAATCTGGCACAGAGAATGTGCAGCTGGTAGCGGAGAGTGAGCTGCACGACAATGCTAACTCCACTACGCCTTCTCAGCCGGGGGGTTTGGGCTGATCTCTTACCTCTCTAGGTTTTTCATTACCCTCTTATGTAAAATGGGACAATATACGCACCCTGTAGGGTGATCACGAGGATTAAACATAATACAGCTGTAAAGGGTTTCACTGGCTTCTTGGCTCGTCCTGACCATCAGTGTGTGTTGGCTGCCGTGACATTATGGCCACGGTGGTTGTATAAAGACCTTTCACTGCAGAAGGCGACCTGAGTCCATGGAACAGGCCATTCCTGACCAAGCCTTCTGGGCACTACCTGAATATTCTGTGCATTCAAAAATAGGCTTAAAGGATTGGGTCTCAGCCTTTGGCAATGAGAAAAAAAAAAATACATCCTCCCCCAAGTATTTTGCCCCCGATCCATATGCCTTAAGAGAAGATAATTATTTGAGGGACAGCGGTTGTGTTCTGATTTAGAGCAAATGTCAGGATGAGGCTAAAAAAACATTTTCTCTAAAAGTTGTAGGAGTTTTCTCTTGTGACTGATGCTGCTAATTTTAGACCAATATTACATAGCTTGCATTTCCAGAGGGGCGAGAAAGAATAAGAAAATTGCTAATTTGGGTCTGTAGGGAATGGGTTGGGATATTTCCATCCCCTCTGGGGTTTTGTAAATATGTTCCAGGCCAAAAGTTCCCAGGAGCGTGTGGTTCCTGGGATCTACTGAGAGCCACTGGCAAGGCCTAAGGAAGGTCCAGGTGTCTTTCGGCAGGAGCGAAAAACCCATGAGCCTCCGC